CGCGCTGGAATAACACCTTTGGAATAACAGAACTGAAATTTGTGCGTGTTTAAGTGTTTCCACCATGTATTAAAATAACCTACAGTTTCTCACCAATGTAGTGGAAAAAATGAATACATCAGTAGTTTTACTGTTTTTATAAAAATGGGTGTTAGAATTATGTGAATACAGGCAATAAAATGGCACATATCTGTTGTATTACTAGACAGCATAGAAAGATGCCCTAGCTTTTCTTAAAAGGAAAGAAAAATGTTGTAAACGAGGCTTTTCGTAGCCCTGGGAATTTTAATACAATTTTAGCTTATACATGCTTTTCTCTTGTCTGGCTTGGTACACATATCTTCTTCTTCACCTGCACTGTTACCTGAAAAACAGGAATATAAAATAACTCAGCTTTTTACATTCTGTGGCAATAAGCTATTTTTTGTCTTCGGATGTTCCTCTAATCCTGTGAAGCAATATTGCATTTTTCTTCACCTCTGTATGGAATGACACACTACCGCATTACACCAAAAAATTACTGGAAATATCAACCCTCATAGGGACAACATGGCAAACCTCCACCATGCTTAAAAATGATGATTCTAAATGATTACTAAAAAAAAAAAAATTAAAAAAATGCTTTTTTTGTATGAAGGAAGAGACTTGTTAGGATCTAGGCTTTGTAGCTATGTTGTTTTTTTTTTTCCTTTTTTAAACTAATTTCTGCTGAGGCCTTACGAATATGAGAAGAAAACTCAAATATTATTATCAACGGAGGTGCATAGATGACCTCCTGCAAAGTGTTCAAAATGCTTCTGTTAGTCAGTCTGCCCGGTTCATAAATAGAAACAGCAGAAATGTGGATCTCTGAAGTAAACTTTGTGCCTTTAGTTTTGAACTAGAACTTGTAAGAATCCCATTAGGGGAAAAAAAGATGATGATTATTGTGAAAACTTACTAAGAAACACATTTTAGTGGAAAGTATTTCTGTCTTCAGGAACAATAAATATTTGAGGATCTTATCATGAGAGCACAGTTTATGCATTCAGTGAAACTGAAGCCAGACTGGGTGATACCAGGGATCAGACATGTATGGTTTTGTTCCAAACGACAGAAGCTCTGTATACTGAACAGGTATGGTAGAGTCTTCCGACTCTTCTTTGTGCTATATGTTAGATAAATTGAAGCAGGCAGAAGATATTTGTGCTGTATACTAGATAATCTGAAGCAGGTTGAGACAGCTGGATAAAATCAAACACAGAAGTAGTGAGTATTCCATCATGAGAATTTACTAGGATGAAACTTCATGTAAACTTTGTTTCCATTAATAATTCCAAATTTTTTAGGAAAAAACTCCTGAGTAAACTTTCTCAGATTTCTATTCAATAAAGATTTCTATTCACTAGTTAAAAACCTGTGGAGAGAAGCATCAGACCGAAATAATGCTGCTGGGACAAATAAGGTATAATATCAAATAGCGTTCTTCAGGAAGATTAACTGTTACTGAAAGTGGTCAAGAAGAAACAATTAAAATTGCTTCTAAAACATGTTTTTGTGTGTGAAATCCAAAGAAGCTGGGGAAACTTAGGTTTTCTTTTTCAGTATATAAACTGAATTTTGCCAATTTTTCTCATCCTCAAAACACCAGATGTATAAATAAGATCTTTTGGGAAGTTATTCTGAAGAATAGTGCCACTACTTACTGGAATAAAAGCATTATAGCAAACTGATGTGATGCAAGGTAAAGATAAACATAGGATGACACTACTTTGAGTCCAATGGAAGCTACTGAGTTTGAAAAAGCAAAAAAATGAATTCAATAAAAAGGAGGAAAAAACATATATGACTAAGAATGGGTATAAAGGAATACTGCAAGCAAAAAGTATTACTGAAAATTCTAAGAAGGCAACAGACCTACAAAGCAGGATATGAAAAGAATAAATATTATCTAAATGAGATAAATATAATCAGCTCTCTATCTGATACAATAGGATACTTAAGGAAAAGCCAGAGTAATCTCTGTGCGATAAGTGAGTATCTTCAAGAGTTCCTGATGCATTGGAAGACTGCTATCATAAGTATTAAAAAATAGGATCAGGAAATACGTGAATTAACAATTCCAAGATTCTCAGGCAAATTATTAAACAATTTATCAGCACCAAAAAGATTAGAATAAACCAATAACTTGTGTGTATCCAGAACATTTTATGAAAAATTTTGTAATAGAGTAACTGACCCTAATTTATCCCCTAGCAGCAGAGTTTATATCTTGATTTTAACAAGACTCTCTTGTCCCGATTATAATAGTGGCATGCTAATTTCATACCACCCAGTTTCTTCATCAAAATCCTGTGTGGGGCCAAGTCAGTTATCTACAGAAGTTCTAAGAAGTCAGCAGTGATCTCCCTATCGGAACTTGCTATTGATGTTACAGATAAATGCTATCAAATGAATGCTACAAGGTCTTGCTTCTGTCTTCCCGTTCGATTGGCACAGTATCACCTACCTTTAGTTCTGATTAATCAAACTTCCGTATCAACTAATGAATTACTCTGCCCAGGATCAATGCTAGGATGTCAGGCCTCCAATTATGTGTTTGTCATCCTAAATGTTACTACAAGATTAATTTTTTTTCTGATGTCCTTCTCCAGTGTATTAATACCGACTCCACAGGGTACTCCTCTACAAACTCTATATCCAGCTCATTTGTAGAATATACACTGAGACATAAAGGAGAGCAGAATAAGATGCAGCATATGGTAAAGTGTTAGTTGGCAAACGTCATGTTAATTCAATCACTTTTTTTTTTTCTCGTTTTGAATTTTCTTTTTGGTTTTTGGTACAATTGTGTTCTGCTTCAGATGCTGTGAAGCCAGATAGAGAAGTAAAATGGAGCAATGGAGTCGAAGACTGAGAACAAATGGCTTGAAAAAAAAGGAGAAAATATTAATAGTATTGGTTGTAACGGAGGGGGCCAACACACAATATGCCCATTTGTACGAGGTGTGACTGAAACTCAGGAGAGAGGAGTTCACAAGGAAGTCTGTATAAGCAAACTAAGTAATTAGAAGAGGAATACAATAAATGCAAAAAATCACCCACATTTACTGTAGTCTGATATTACTGGTATCCAAAGGGGTCACAGAGTCATACTTGATAGCCCCAGTTTAAGGTAACAAGCTTTTATAGGGTCTTATGCTGCCCTGCAGTCCCCTCACCGTTACAGCCTGTAGGCGTTTTGAGTTCTCTAGAAGTAAAGGCCCAAAGGAAATAAATTGTCATTTCAAAGCTTGGATTACCACATAGTTGTAAATCGTTGATTTTGTTACTCCTTTTTGTATCATTTGGTCATTCTGAATTTTCATCCTGACTAACCTAATTATACAGGTGGGGAACACACACTGTCAGTGGTAAAGAGGGAATAAAGAAGAACAACATGACTCTGTGGCCAGAAATTGCTTTTGCTTAGAGTGGTCCATTGTGTGCGATTGCAGGCATGGAGGGAATGTGGAAAGATGATACAACAGAACGGTACACTCAGTTGTCAAGATATGGATTCTTTTTCCAATTCTTCTGTGCAGCACTGAGCAAACAACTTTTCCTTTTCTGCCATTTCTGACTTTCCATTTCTCTGGATAATGGAGATGAGCTTGCTCTCATTTCTTAAGGAAATGAAGCTTATGCAGCTTTCCTATTTGTCCATTGGTATGTGTTTTTATAACTTTTCAGCCAATTGAATACATTTGCTCTCCCTTCTTCCCTGCCTGCAAATACTAGCCTCATAAAGTCCTACAAATTTTGTGAAAATTGGCAGCTGAAAAGAGGAGAAAGGACTCATTCCCACTAAGTGAAAGCTTGGCTATTTAAAGCCAAAAGAAAAAAACCTCCTGGTAAATGCTGAGTTTAATCAGAAAGTGCATAGCAGCAAACTGATTAGCACACAGCTAAGGACAAGCAACAGCTGCCTCTTCCAAAACCGGTGGTTACATAAAAATTATTGAAAAGATAAAGGAATGGTAGGAGGAACGATGTGGGAACCAGGTGTTACTGTGAGAAAGGGATACAGGACACAAGCCTATAGAAAATCAGTTCGGTTCCACAGATCAGGGCTCGCATAATCCCAAGAGCCTGGATCGTGGGTGCCACCCTAGGTACTCCTATACGAACAAGATGACAGAGGAGTCAGCTTTATCTGAGGCTGTGTGAGCAGAGCTTCAGGAACACCTGCTCTACCTAAGGAGTGGAGTGCCTGGCCTCTGGTTCCTCTGAGCCATTGATCGGCCAGTCCTTTAGTAATAATCATAGAACCATTAAGGTTGGAAAAGACCCTTAAGATCATCGAGTCCAACCGTTAATCCAGCACTGCCAAGTCCATCTATACCATGTCCTCGAGCACCACGTCTACCCTTCTTTTAAATCCCTCCAGGGATGGAGACTCAACCACTTCCCTGGCCAGCCTCTTCCAGTGCCTGACTACCCTTTTGGTGAAGAAGTTTTTCCTAATATCCAACCTAAACTTCCTCTGGCACAGCTTGAGGCCGTTTTCTCTCGTCCTATCGCTTGTTACTAGGGAGAAGAGACCGACCCCCACCTCCCTACAGCCTCCTGTCAGGTAGTTGTAGAGAGCAATAAGGTCTCCCCTCAGCCTCCTCCAGACTAAACAACCCCAGCTCCCTCAGCCGCTCCTTATAAGACTTGTGCTCCAGACCCTTCACCAGCTTTGTTGCCCTCCTCTGGACACGCTCCAGCACCTCGATGTCCTTCTTGTAGTGAGAACAAAGAAAAATATGAAGCTTGTTACTGAAGGGTATAACAGGTAGAAACCACTCAACTGCATGCGTGACTAAAGAGAGTGGGGAGATGGTGTGGCTTGCCCACGAGGAAGCACACGTTCGCGGTCCCTGACGCCGTGGCGAGGTGGTTCTGCTTCGTGCCACCCAGCAAGAGCCCGTCTCCTTGCTATGACCCCCTCTTCCCGCGGCACGGTGCCCCCCTCGCTCCTGCGAGGCCAAGCAGCGATGGCCGGTGGCCGCTACGGGCGGGCGCTTGGGCTGGCTGCCCCCAAGCGAAGGCGGGCGGGGGATCCGATGCGACGACGATCTCCTCCTGGCCCGGATCCCGAGTGCAGGGCGAACCCGCGCTTCCTAGGGCAGGCCTGGAAGGGAAGGGTGAGAGAGAGTAACACCGGCCCGGGCCCGGCAGCGGGGAGGGAGGGGGCCGGGGACGCCCGAAGGCGGCGGGTCAGAGCGAGCGTTAGCAGCACCGGGCGCCAACAGCGGCGGCCGGGGGCGAGGCGCCTCCTC